ATTATTATTATTAATATTATTACTTCTATTTAGACGTCGTCGTAGGCAAGAGAGCGACCTCATGCAGCGCTGACCACGACTGTCACCCACCTGTATGTGGGAACAGCCACCACGGAGTCTGTCAGAACGGACAGTGTGATTGCAGCACCAAACAACCAGGTAAATATACAAACATGCACGTATTCGGACAGATGTACGTACATATGTACATACACATAAATTTTTTGGAAAGTGCCCTCAACTGCATAAGGTCATGTGAGCGCGTGGTAAACATTCAATATTTTCAGATTTGATAGGAATTTTGAATTTTGCCCCAGTGGCGATCAAAACCTACTATTACCGATTTTAGGACCACCAAGGGATCCTTAACGCGTTCAATTAGCACTCGGGACCTCCAAGATTTATCGCCCTTATTCGAGAAGGCAAGGTGTTTGATCTTACCTAACATAATAAAGATCAGGGGTACGGCTGAAAGACAGCAGAAAGAAGGAGACCAGGAGCAGCAATAAATGGCTTCAGAAAGAGCCAGGAGCCCAGAGGAGGGGGCAAAGGGCGGGAGGGGGGGGTTGTGCAGAAAGTGAAGATGAAAGAACAATAAAGAGCATGGTTAGAGAGCTGATAATGGGGTGAAAGGAGAACATTATTAGAGAAGAAAATTTAGTAAGATTGAACTTTGGTGGACTCAACACTGAACAAAGCAGCAAATACTTTTGAGACTGGCTGTGCAACGGTCCGCTCTTATGTTATTGTTTTGCATTTATGTGAGATTTTATATTAATATTGTTTCCATGGTGCAGGCCACCCTGAAGCCCCCCCCCCCCTCCACTGTTGTTATGGCTGGTGCGCATTAATACGTGTAAACACGGTGGGTCCACCAAAGTTCAACCCAGTCAAAGAAAATTTTCCGTCGCTGTCAGGTTTCGAACAGGGGACCCCATTAAATGAACACCGTGACCTCTATACCACGAGAGCCCCCATTACATAATTTTAATTATACAGACAGATAAAGTGAGATCAGTAATCGAAGTCAGCTTCTACAAAGTTCCAAAACTTTTTTCTCTCTCCCCTCAAGCAAACCACACCCACATCAACTGTTACACAAACGTTTTTGTATTAAAATTAGACTAAAGCAAATATCTTGTTGTTGTTTTTTTTATCATTAAGACACAACCGTAGCGAACACGACCTCAAGCTTGATCTCGAACTCGACCTCCTGCAGCGCTGACCACGACTGTCACCCACCTGTATGTGGGAACAGCCACCACGGAGTCTGTCAGAACGGACAGTGTGATTGCAGCACCAAGCAACAAGGTAATTGTACAAACATGTGCATAATCATACATACATACATACATACATACATACATACATACATACATACATACATACATATGTGGCTGAAAGACATCAGAAAGAAGGAGACAAGGAGTAGTAATAAAATAGCTGCAGAAAGAGCCAGGAGCATTGAGAAGGGGGCAAAGGGTGGGAGAAGGGGGGGGGGGCAGAAAGTGGAAATGAAAGAAGAGGATAGAGCATGGTTAGAGAGTAGAAAAGGAGGTGAAAGGAGAACATTATTAGAGAAGATAATTTTCCGTCGCTGTCAGGTTTCGAACCCGGGACCCCCATTTAAATATCAGGGGTGTGGCTGGAAGACATCAGAAAGAAGGAGACAAGGAGAAGCAATAAAATAGCTGCAGAAAGAGCCAGGAGCATAGAGGAGGGGGCAAAGGGCGGGAGGGGGGGGCAGAGAGTGAAGATGAAAGAAGAGGATAGAGCATGGTTAGAAAGTAGAAAAGGAGGTGACAGGAGAAAATTATTAGAGAAAAGTTTCGAACCCGGGACCCCATTGAATGAGAGGCAAACACCGTAAACTCTAGAGCACGAGAGCACCCCATGTACATAAAATATACAGACAGACAAAGCGAGATCAGTAATCGAAGTCAGATTGTACAAAGTTTGTCGAAAACTTTTCTCTGTCTCCCCTCAAGCAAACCACAACCAGATCAACTGTTAAACAAACGGTTTTGTATCAAAATTGGATTAAAACGAAAATCTTTTTTTTTTATCATTAAGACACAACTGTAGCGAACACGACCTCGAACTCGACCTCGAACTCGACCTCGAACTCGACCTCGAACTCGACCTCGAACTCGACCTCGAACTCGACCTCGAACTCGACCTCATGCAGTGCTGACCACGACTGTCACCCACCTGTATGTGGGAACAGCCACCACGGAGTCTGTCAGAACGGACAGTGTGATTGCAGCACCAACCAAGAAGGTAAATAAGCTCTTTTTTTGTGTATATCTTTTCATTTTAGTTTTTTTTAAGTTCTATTAGATAATATTGTAAATATGAGTAGCAACAGAGGTCAAGACGTAATGCACTGTGTATCTATACATATAATACGTGTGTGTGTGTGTGTGTGTGTGTGCGCGCGCGTGTGTGTTCAGTGTTGTGTATGTGTGTGTGTGT